GCGGGGGGTACAGGAGGAGGCTACAGGCTGGGCTGTGGGATGCAGAATGTGGGAAGGGACTACAGGTGGAGGCAGGGAGTTGGCGTGTGGAAGGGTGCAGGCTCTGGGATGCAGGAGGGGGCTCAGGACAGGGTGGGGATGAGGGCTCTGGGCTGGGGTCAGGGATGAGGAGCTTGGGGTGCAGATGAGGGCTCTGGGCTGGGGTCAGGGATGAGGTGTTTGGGGTGCAGGTGGGGGCTCAGGACTGGGACAGAAGATTGGGGTTCAGGGTTACCTTGGGTGGCTCCTGGTCAGCAGGGCCAAGGCAGGCTGCCTGCCTGTCCTGGCTCCGTGCTGCGCCCCAGAAGCAGCCAGCAGGTCCAGCTCCTTGGGCGGGCGAGAGGGAGAGGAGGGCTCCATGGCATGCACTGCTCTTGCCCACAGGCATCACCCTCCCTACACACTCCCACTGGCCAGAAACTAGCCAAGGGAGTGCAGAGCCAATGCTCAGGGCAGAGCCAGCACATGGAGCCCTGTGGGCCCCCGGCCTAGGAGCTGGACCCACTGGCTGCTTCCGGGGTGCAGCATGTAGCCGGGACAGGTAGGGACTAGCCCGCCTGGGCTCTGCAGCACGGATGACCAGACAATTAATGGACCCATCAGTGGTGCTGACCAGAGCTACCAGGGTCCCTTTCTGAGGTACCGCCTCCCCAGCCAGGCACCCGCTGCAATAGAGGAGCAACCCAACAGCTGGCCTGAGAAGTGGCTGGTCCCACTCTTCCACTCACCGCCTGCCCAGATCTGGATGCAAGGGGCAGGGCCGAGTGTGCTGGCCATTTGGGGGGAGGGGTACATGACCCTGGCATAACCCTCCCATGCGTCACCTCCTGTGGGTGACCATGACCACACAAAAACGCAACTATAAAAAACGAGACCAAGAAAGATGCTTCATTTTTTCCAATTGATTTTTTTTCTTTTTTATGAAAAAAACGGTCACACGGAATTCTCCAACAAACATAATGCCAAAAAAATTATTTTTAAACAAAAAACAAAAACAGAAAACAAAAGACAAAAACCTGGCTCTCCTTTCCTCTCGATTGTCTGAAAAATCCTTGTGTTCCATAGAAGGCATCGGGCAGTAAGTGCTTTCTATTTAACATTAGCATAAAATCTCTCTCTCTCTTTCGCGCGCGCTCTCTTTAAAATTTGCTCACACAATTTGCTTCTATAAGTACAGTACACTTTGTGTGTGGCTGTCTGTGTGTGCCTGTTCCCAGATCATTTACATTCACAATCCAACTGGAAATAAAAAATAATATTCTAAACGTCAGACTGTGTTCTTCTTTATAATTTCATAATTTTTTCACAGTTTTAAAAAGTTTATATTTTTATATATATATATTTATATTTATAATTAAAAAGTTG